ATGTTTCGGTATGTGTTTTTCGTAAACGCCACAAAGACTTAGAACCATTTTTCAATATGGAGAATAACTTCGTTTTCTGCAGTAACATTAACGGCTTACTGGCGGCTTTAAATATAAACTATAACCCAGAAGAATGAAGATTGTTTATAGACAGCTCAACATTGAGTTTAAAGGCAGCGTTATTGCATATTGGAAATATTTTACCATCTCTTCCTGTAGGGTATGCAGTTCACATGAAAGAATCATATGACAATATGAAGTACCTATTGACATGCATAAAATACGATGAGCACCAATGGCATATTTGTGGCGATTTGAAAGTTGTTGCACTTGTACTTGGGCTGCAGCTAGGCTACACAAAGTTTTGCTGTTTTTTGTGTGAATGGGACAGTCGGGCAAAGGCACTTCATTACACCAGACAAAACTGGCCTGTTCGTCAATTCCTAGAGCCAGGTCAAAAAAATGTACAGCATATGCCATTAGTAGATTCGAAAAAAAATTTATTACCACCACTGCATATCAAGTTGGGCCTAATGAAAAACTTTGTCAGAGCATTAGATAGAGATGGGTCAGCTTTTCAATACCTGCGTCAGAAATTTCCAAGACTAACTGAGGCAAAGGTTAAAGAAGGTATTTTGTTGGGCCACAGATTCGAAATATTTTGAAAGATGCACAGTTTGAAAACACTTTAGCAGGTATTGAAAAAACTGCTTGGAATGATTTCCGTCTGGTGGTCACTAATTTCTTGGGAAATAGAAAAGCTGACAACTATAAAACCCTTGTCAAAAATATGCTGTCATCGTATCAAAAGATGGACTGTAATATGTCTCTTAAGATACATTTCCTACACTCACACCTGGACTTTTTCCTGACAATTGCGGAGCCGTAAGTGATGAGCACGGCGAACGTTTTCATCAGGATATTTCAACAATGGAAAAAAGGTACCAGGGAAAGTGGAATCCTTCCATGCTTGCAGACTACTGTTGGACTCTTGGTAGAGATGCTCCAGAAACGATCCATAAAAGAACAGCAAAAAGACAGCGCATATAGTGATTCTTATAAGTATATGAATCTTGTTACTTTTTTTAATATATCCTTAAAAATAAAAAGTTTTTTTCTAAACTGCAACTAATTTTTTATTTCACTGTCATTTTTGGATTCTGCGCCCCAAAATTAACAAGGAAGTGCACTTTCCCACAAGATACAATTAAAAAACTAAAATTTGTTGTCCAGTGTTATCAGTTTTTATGATTTTTGAACTTAAAAGACATTATTTGTGAGAAATTTTTCATAATTTTTTGTCTAGGGATTGACACGACTTACACATATTATCTGTGTTTTAGGATAATAGACATAATGTTTTTATTGCTTTGAAGAAATTCATTAACCCATAAATTAATAAATGATTACTATTATGATGTAAAGAAAAATGAGGAATTGGTTGGAATGTATTTTATATTTTATTTTCTTGCAAAATACAGACAAATCCACACTATTCAACAGGTATGTAGCTATAATGATAATATATGAACACTCAGTATATTGAACTTAACCAATTCGAGATTGCCATGCATTAACAATCGTTAGAACCTTGCTGCCAAATTTGGCAGCTAGAAAATCGACCTATTATGTGCCGCATTCCCATTGGCTTTGGGGATAACTGATTGCGAAATGTAAATTTATAACAGAAATAAAAATACATGAAAGTTGTCCTATTTTCTCTGTACAAAAGCATCATGTTGGAATCAAAAAGTGGTCTTGTTTAAAAACAGTCTAATTTTCACGATTCAATATTTTAACAGAAATCACTGATGTTCAGAGACCTTTGACAGCTTCCGTCAAGTTGCATTTCGATAAGGTATTTTCCCATTGGCCCAAGCGACCGTTAAATATTAATGCTGGTGAAATTGGCCCTAAGTTGTGGAAAATCTGGCCACCTACCGAAGGTTGGTCAGACGGATTTTCACCCTCATCCCATACGAAGGTCTCAGTTCCTGAACAAGTACTCGATCGTGTCGATTCCAGCACTTATAAAAGTCCATCGGGTTCACTTTTAACGAACTATGGATTTGTATACCTCATAATTTTAAAGATTGCAAATGAAGGACGATCTACTATTGTAGTGCTTGTGTGCTGAAAGTATAGCAAATGTTTAGGAGAATTAACTTGTACCCGGCCAGAAATGCCATGTCGCTTGTGCCTTTTGACACTTTTGTACAATTTCCATTGTCCTACTGGAATTGTGTTGTAGTTGAAGTATTTTTGTGTTTTGTACTTGAAACGATTTGTGACTTGGGACAGGGTGCAACAAAGCCTGAAAAGAAATAGGAAACAAAGTTGGTTGATAATGTTATGTATTGCTACCTACTCTGAATGCGTTAGATATTATATTTATTTATCTAACATCATTCTGAAAAGTAATTCTAACACATAAATGTGTCGCCAAAGTGTTCTCTCCGGACGTGTCTGGGTGGGCGGCTTTAGTGTGAGAATAGCAACAGACTGCTATTTTAGTGGTTTATAGGAAGTACCCTGTAAAACCATTGTCGGATCTTAAAGTTAGACATATTATGAAAAACTTGCAGTGATGAAAGAAAGTTGTCTATATCTACCTGTATATACTAAAATAGGTATTTTGTATATTAGACGTTGGCTACCTTTTATTGTGAAAATAAAACGTAAGGGGTAGAAATAGGGGGTAAAAGTGAGCATTATTCTTTAAATTAAGGATAATAATATGGGTGTTTTATACTTGGCTCCTTGATATAATGTTAATGTGCAGGCATAAATAAATTTTGGAAACTATGCCCCTAAGGGGTGAAGTGAGAGCCAAAATTCTTGAAGCTAAAGAACCTTGAATACTTCAGATTAGGCCAGACTAGAAGTAGGAATATGGCTTCTCTGTAATTTCTTCTTAAAAATAATAAACATTATGAAATAATTCTAGAAATAATATCCTCAAGGTGCAGTAAGAATGAATCGCATATCTCTACGGGACTCCTACTCACTTTTCAAGTTAAGTTTTTAGAAACTTATTGGGAGACACGAAATTTAGCTGGAAAGTATGGCTCAGCTCAGAACGGGATACACATTATTCAAAAAATTCGAAAACCATTTGTACTCTGTATTCGGCAGAGGTAGATTATGGATAGGACACGTCAACTTTTTCGGCAAGGGCAAGCGGGCTAAGGGCAAATATATACAGGCTGGTCCATAAGTGTTGGTAAATAATTTAACAGCAGATCCCTGTCAAAGAAATATTGAGGTGATGAATAATAAATTTAGCATTTATTCTTCGTTTTTAACGAAATTTGGCATATGAGGGTTTTTTATATGGTAAATCTAATTTTTTTTTAAATTATCATATAGAGAGCGTCACCTGCAACATTTTGTATAATTTAAATTTTATTTAACATATGCCTTGTACAATCATGTTTGCTTAAAAAAAGTATAGTTCATAAATCTCGCTATGATTCACCCTTTACGAGATATTTTACATTTAAACCTTTCAATGCACTCAACAAAAAAAATCACATCCATAAACTATTTAAATTCCTCTATTATACTTCGAATGAATGGTAAAATACAAACGATGAATTAACTTAAAATCAAAGATTAATCAGAAATGAAAATTATCAATCTTTGCCAGCAAATGTTCGACATGACATCCACATTCCTCAACATATTTTATAAATATTTAAATGAAAGATCTTAAAAAATAATTGCTCATTTCGAAATGATTCAGCAGCATTTTGAATTTTTGCCATTTATTTCTGTCTTGTGTTTACTGTAGTTACGTAAGCAATTGATTTCATATATCCCCATACGCAAAAATCTAATGGGTTAAGATGTGGACTTCATGACGGGCCAAAGTCTTCGTCTTCCACGTAATATCCAGTTAAAATTAGTGTCAAGATATTTTCTCACCGGTCTAGCAAAGTGCGCAGGAGTACCATCTTGCATAAAAACCATATCCCGACGCAGACTTAAAGGTAATTCTTCTAAATAATCAATGAGTTTTGTTTTTAAGAAGTTTAAATATATGTTATTCTCCGTTTAGATTTGGAAGTAACTCGTATGCTCCCGAAAAAAATTGTCTATTACACCACACCAAATATTAATTTTAAATTCGTATTGAAAGTGTTGGGATTTGCAATATCTCATGAATGCTTGTTTCTAAAATAAAAATTTACCCTTCGGGTAAAAGTCGCTTCATCCTTAAACAAATTTTATTTATAAATAAGGGATCTTGATTTTGTTGAGCCTGGAAATAGCGGGAGAAAACTAGTCCTGTTGGTAAATCTGCCTCCAAAAGTTTTTTGTACAGGTCAAAATGATATGGATAAAGACGTTCGCGATGAAAAATTCTCAAAACTGATGCTTCTTCGTTCGTTCTTTGCTACATTACGCCTTACACATATTTCTGGATCTCCAGCTACCTGGATAACCACTTCTTCTTCTTGATCCACATTATGTCTATTTGGACGTCCAACTTCCCGGTTTGGCCTGAATAAACTAGTTTCCCCAGGTCTCTGGTAAACGTTTTTAAAAGGTTTAAAATCTGGCTGCTTCCTACTTGGTTACAAATGCGCTTAACCTCGACAAGCTCTTAAACAGCTGTAATTTTCTTGAGCATATACACAAACCATATCTCGCATTTCCGAATTAGAAAATAATGTGGTAAATACACAATGAACACTGGAACTAATACTAAAAGTACGCAATAAAGGTAATAGATTACGGCACTGAACATGTGAGTTTGAATTTGTATAACCACGCAGTAAAGTAACAGACAAGAACGTAAAACGTGACGTTTATAATTCATCTCGTCAGGCACCGCCTATCTAAAATATATTTTAACTTAGGAAAATGAGATTTTATCTTGAGTGCATTGAAAACTTCAAATGTCAATATCTCGAAAATGATGAATTATAGCGAGATTTTTTAAGCAAACATGATTGCACAATGCATATTTTGAATGAAAAATTAAATTATTCCAGGTGTAAAAAAGTTACGAAGTTCAAGAAAACAGAAAATATTGCTGGTGGCGCCCTCCATAAGGTAATTTGAAAAAAGGTCAATTTTGGATTTGTTATATAAGAAATCTTCATATGCCAAATTTCGTTAAAAACGAAGAATCAATGTTAAATTGATGACCAAAATTCAAGACAATTTCAATAAGTTTATCACTCTGTATCTTGGTTGCCTTTGACTTTCAAACTATAAAAAAATTAACTCAATCTCAATATATCTGTTAAATTATTTGTTATTACTTATAGGACACCCTGTATAAAAGCAAAAATGTACCCGTTAATCACGGAATTTCGAAAACAATTTGATGATTTAGTAACTAAATTTAGTTTATGGCCAGGACATGTTAGCTGAGGACGTATTTTGCGTCAGGGGTATGTTACGGGGGTTAAGGCTATATAAATATAAAAGCGAAAAGATCCGCATACATTAGTCACGAAAAATATTTGACCTATGAAACTGAAACTTGGCAGAAGAGGCACTTAGAGGTTTGTATGAAGGTAGTTTATAGGCCGTTAATGTCAGAATTTTACGACAGGGACCGTATTAAAGGGCTGACGAATTTGTTTGAAATTCTTTGGATTTTCCTGCTAGATCGTTGAAATTGGCAATAATGAGGTTCTTAAGAGTACGTGTATACTTGGACTACGAATTGATTTTATGACATAAGTGAAATGGAGTTTAATGACTGTCACATATTTACTTTTTCTAAGTAGAAACTAGGCAGCAGGCTAGGCAGGTATCTTTTGCAATTTAAACTGTAGTAGTGGTGTTAACATTTTCGGTATTTTAAAAAACTCATCGGACGAGGTCGCGGTAACAGCTAGTACAACGATATGTGCGTTGATCTGAAATGAAAAGGCCGATATACCTGCCTGCATCTAACATAGACGCTGTATGCATTGTCGGTAGGTAGAGACAGAGCAACAGGTGTGTGCATACACAAGCAGTACCCAGTACCACTAAGTCGTGCTGACTGTAGAGGAGCCAACGCGTCGGTCGCTCTCGAGCAAAGAGGTAAAGGAACCCTCAGCTTTGCATTCTGCATTCATTTGTAACTCTGTTGTGCGGCTGCTGATCGGTGGGTACTTATACATATATTCAATGGTACCACTCGGGTTATCACAGTTACATTTTCAATCATTAATATGTATAGGGATATGAGGAATGGTGTAGTTGTATTGTATCGTAGACACTTGTTGTCTGGTGTTAGTACAACGTGTGTCGAGATATGTTCAGCATGGTTTGAGCTGTCTTTGGAACAAGATCTGGTAAATGATTCATAGATAATGCGAGATCAAAGCAAAAGTGTGATTGTATCGATTCAATCTATCTACATTTCTTAGTTATGAGACTCTCCCGTCACAAGCTCGATCTTTTATGCTTTTAAGTTATCATATATTTCACAACAAAGCTAAAAATAGTTAGGTAGTATGTGCCTTAGCATTTAGCAGAGGTGTAGGCCAATCTTTAAAAATGCGTCATACTGCAAAGTCAAAGCAACATCACCATCGATGATTTTTTTGTGAGAAATGAAATTGCAACTATTAGTAATAGTAACTTGGTCAATAAAGTTGTAAAAAAGATTCTTTTTACTTCGTACTCCACTGGCGAGGACGTACCTATTGTAATCGCTAAAAATTTCAACAATCAGATATTATGGTTTTTTGATGTTGTATGTATGACATGCACATCACAAAAAACCATGTCACTCATTTCCGGCGGTCTTTTGGTCTATCTGTCTGTCCGTCAATCCCTGGGCAGTCTATAACTTAGAAAATACCGCTTTGATGTGGATGAAAAAGCGATGTAGTATTTGGAATTCGGCCCAGTGGTGGTGGACCAGCTGCTGAAAAACAAAGAAAATTGAAACCGCTTAAACTTTGTTTCGGAGGTTCCTTATCAACTTTAGAAAATTGTATGAAAGGGTTGAAAATTGGGAGGCGAGGGTATATCTCAATTTTTTGATGTAGTAGTATATTTATACGCTCCAACCCCGATAGTTCTACGCACATATATGTAAGACCTTCACATATTTCACACACCATAGATTCCACGTACAAAACCCTGGTAAAGAAATGTTTTCGCCGTCACCGGCGGGCGTCACAGTCTCGGCAAGTGACCTGTCATTACTGTGGTACTGCTAAATCTGACGCTTGGTGCGGTCAGGTATATGGGAGAGGCGACGTTGCCAGGTGGTAACTACCGGTAGGGTGAGGAAAGAATGACTGAGGCTGATTGGATGGGCTTGTTGGATTGACTTGATCCATATAAGTTCTCTCTTACATGTAAGTAGCTAACTTTTCTTTCTCAGAGGGTCTATCTGGGTCACGAACTGATGATCCCATTGCGTGGAAGTGCAGAGTCAACATGCTTGATGACTTTTTTCAGAATATCGAATGGAAATCAAGCCTACAAAGTAACAGAAAGCTTTCTCTTCGATCTAAGAAGGGCCTTAGTACCCGAGGATAAGGGTTTTCTTTCTGGAGCTCTGTATAATTTGCCATTTCTTTTAATTATGTATAATTTGAAAATACGATGCCCTTTCTAACAATTAAAGTGTGTAGATTCCATTATCTCATTTAAACACATCTGGTTATATGGCAATTGTATGACAGATGGACTTGAGAAAACGAGATCAGAGTAGGCTTGTCGGTCTTGACCTAGCCAACTCTAAGGACCATATCGTCAGTCGTTTCTATAATTGTACGACGCCTTTATTACCTCCTTTATTTTTATAGTATTTTCTCTCCTTCAGAAAGTTGGGGTATTTCTGGATTTCCGTGAGAGCGTCAGCGCTCTCCTATTGTGAGGCAATACTTTCTTTTTGAATGTAGGAAATTCTGGCTGATAAAACAAATGTTGAAAATCGAAAGCCTAAACAGTTTGATGCAAATAGAGAGAATTTTATAACATAACCTCAAACTAGAGTGGTTTTCGGAAAACTATGAAAATCATGGATTCAATGAAGACATCCTACAATTGTAGGAACGACTGACGATATGGCCTCAGAGTTAGAAAGATAACAAGTGAAGAGGTTTGAAGCAGCACCCTGAATTGGGCAGCACTCCCAATCATGTATCAGGAACAGAGCTCATTTTAAGGTCTACCCAAGATGTACTACATCAAGAGAGAAGAGTAAGACAGTTAAAGGGAGATGAGGAATGTATCCAAGAATATGACGACCACAAAACAGCTGATGGTGTCTAAGAACCTGCTGTTTTTATTTGGTCGGAGATAAATGCGGTGTTGCCAGATAGATAAACCTTTTTGGATGAATTCAGTTTCTATCACCAGAAGTGAAAGCATTTTTTGTTCCAATTTACTTTGGCTTGGACATATACTCATGTGGGGATAATTATCATCCGTTTTTCATTCAATGAAGTCATAAATCACACTTTCCGCGAGTACTCTCCACGTGATGTGAACAAAAGTTATTCTTAAAGCGTGTAAGTTTCACATAGCTGTGTATCGTTTAGAACCCTACTCAGAATATTAGACGATTTAGTTTAGTAACAGAGGACGAATGTCGGCTTGCAATTGATTTAAAAATTATTCTAACCTCAAATTGCTTACTCGACCAATCGTCGGACTATTTGACGTAGTTCCCAGTTATCTAGAAAGCGTAGCAACAAGATGATTTGTTTACTTATTCCGTCTGACTTCATGACGTAAAAATGACTTACCGGCCGAATATCGAGGCATCTATGAATGACTAGAGATAGATCGCTGATTTTGTTTGTAATAGCCCAAAATCCGACCGCAAATTTTGGGTCATTCGCATAATGACACAGGTTTGCTGTTTAGCATCAAAATACATGAGATTTGACCAGTTTTTTACCGTATCACATCAATAAGCGGTGATGTAACAAAAAATTTGCCGTCGGCTTCCCTACTATAACGCAGAAGAGACCCAAGGTCAAAGGATCCGACCAGCGGATTATAAAAATATTGCACAAAGTGTCTTCTCTTGTCTTCTCTAGTCTTTGGCCTATCCGTCGAAGGAAAGACGTTTTTTGCTTATCCCTAGGTAGAAAAAACCTAAGGTTGCTGTTAAGACTTCTCTCGACTTAAGATTCCACGTGCGCCCGCATAGGAAATTGAATAAGGGTAATAATAATAGTAATAACAATAATATAATAATAATAATAATACCCGTGGTGATAGGAGCAGCTGGCGCAACATCCACCAACCTATTGAAACTTCTAGAGAAAATATCAAAAAACATCAACATTCAACTGCTTCAAACAGCAGCAATATATGGTACCCCACATATCATAAGGAAAGTCTTAGGCTAATGCTCGACCCTAGGGATGTGGTACATCACCGGTGAGAGAAGGTAAGCACAAAGCCCAGCTACCACCATTTAAAGCTGTGAAATAAAGTGATAATAATAATAATAATAATAATAATAATAATAATAGTAGTAATGATAATAATAATATTAATGATAATAATAATAATAATATGCCTTTATTCGATTCTTTACAAATACCTGTTTTGGGTAACGTGAGGTAAGGTGAGGTACTAAAAATTTAAAATTAAATAATCCAAAAGGCGGAGAGTTAGCTTAAGGTATTTTTCAACTCAGCCATAAATAAAATTATAAACATGAATAAGAATAGAGTCGTAGAATAATAAGTACATGTGATTTGTGACAATTGCCATATAATGTTTAAGTCTATACAAGTATACATGTTTAAATAATAAGTCATTTAGTCTGAAATCATAATGCCCATATGATATAATTCGAAAAATAATTCATTCAGTCTTATTCTAGCTGAGTTTTTGAAAATTGGTCGCACTATTATTAGGTCGAGGAGGTGGATGGATGCATTACTTTTAAATTTTCTTGAAATTTATTAGAATGTAATTGCGATACTCAGTTGGTAGATTGTTATAGTGTTTGGCCGCAGCAACGATTTAGAGTGGTGGAGTATAACTAGAGATTGACTTGTTGTCGCTAAGTTGTTAACGTTTACAATTTTTTTAGATTATGGACTAAAGATAGTGAATGGTGGATTATAAGA